GTTAAATAGCAATAAAAGTGGTAAGAGTGGGCACCGTCTTCTTGTTCCTGATCTTAGAGAAAAGTTTTCAGCATTTTACTATTGAGTAAGATGTTAGCTGTAGGCTTGTCATATATGGTCTTTATTATGAGGGACATGATTTACCACTTGAAGTAAAAATCTGATATACTTTGATTGTCAGTTATGCTCTGATACTACCAATGTTATTCCCATTCCTCTTCCTCACTTGGTGAGTGGGAGTTTAGCCTCACCTGTTTTCTTCCCATTGTTCTCTCTGTGCTATAGTTTTACATTTGTTTGGGGATTGTTACTTCTTTCTCCCCAGATTTTATTTAAGTCCTCTCATCACTTTGGCAAGTTTCTATCCTTTGGAAGTAACACGGCTGTTTTTCAATATCTTAAGCCAGGCACAAGGAAACTAATCCCTTTTTCATCAGTATCATCAAAGAAATTGTGAGTTTCTTTGAGTGGAATTTCAATTGGCTGAGAGAGGGAGGACACACAACACACACAAATAGGAATAACTGTCATGTTTGGGTATTAAAAAGGAATACACTTGAGATAAACTTTACAACATAAGGTAATAGAGCACATGATTACATAGGGTGAAGGAAGGCGACTTGGGAAACATTAAGAAACCTGATCTGACCTGTGACTTCTCTATAGTCACTATTCTTTTACAAATGTAGCATAGATATGACTTACCTAACACAATGCAAATTATCTCCATGGCCTCTTTGAGGATAGAGTTTTAGAATTTAGAATTTAAAATAACTTCTATATTTTGACTGCCTATTTCAAACCATCACGGCTGCTATTTAACCCTGGTGATATTTGCATGTGAAATATGCTCTGGTCAGTAATCTGATGAAATTATGTGCAAATGCCAAGGGTAACTTAAACATTAAACCTGTAACTGAAAAATATTTTCCAAAGGTGAAAATCATCTCTATTATCAAAGAGTTCGAAGATTTGACTATAGTTTGTTACCTTGTAGGTGACCTTAGTCTTTTTTCTTTTTTTTTTTTTTTGTGTCTAGGATCAAAAATCAGACCTTCTATTTCTATTTTTCTTTAATTTTTTTAAGATTCTACATTATTCCTCCCTCCTTTTTCTGTGTGTGCTTTTGAGACAGAGACTTGCTTTGTTGCCCAGGCTAGAGTGCAATGGTGCAATCATAGTTCTCTGTACTCTCAGGTTCCTGGGCTTACACTATCCTCCCTCGTTGGTATCCCAAGGCTCTGAGATTACAGGCATGAGCCACTGAACCCAGCCCTCTCCTTTTCTGTATGTCACTGTGAATGAGATACACACCTATTTTTCTGGAATGACTGGGGCTAAAAGCATAGCATGATATTCCCAGAACATTTTAAAACATACTGTGATTGCACACTTCTTTTTACATTATTGTAGTACATTAGATTACTTTAATTATTGGGATTCATAAATTTCTCTGAAATCTGCTAGAAAAGAATCTCTGCCTTACATTTATTATCATTCTGTGCAGTGTGCTATGCATATTTTTAATATGCAGGTAATGTTAAATTAAGGTAATTAACAAAATTTACATAATGTTTTTCATATTGAAAGATGACATTTAAGGTCATGAAAGTCAGGATGACTTTTTTTATATTGAATATCCTACAATTGATTTTAGAGTTCTTTGTTGATGAAGTGGGGTTTTTTTGTTTTTGTTTTGTTTTGTTTTGTTTCGTTTTAACAAAGTCTTACTGTGTTGCCCAGGCTGGAATGCAGTGGCATGATCTCACCTGAGTTCAAGAGGTTCTCCTGAGTAGCTGGGATTACAAGCGCATGCCACCACACCCGACTAATTTTTTTTTTGTATTTTTAGTAGAGACGGGGTTTCACCATGTTAATCTGGCTGGTCTTGAACTCCTGACCTCATGATCTGCCCACCTTGGCCACCCAAAGTGCTGGGATTACAGGCATGAACCACTGCGCCCAGCCCTGAAGTGGTTTTTCAACTTCTGTAACCTCTGTCCATGTCCTTGATTTTAAGAACACCATAAACATGTTATACTCTTTTTTTTTTTTTTTTTTTTTGAGCTGGAGTCTCGATCTGTTGCCCAGGCTGGAGTGCAGTGGTGTGATCTCGACTCACTGCAACCTCTGCCTCCCAGGTTCACTCCATTCTCCTGCCGAGTAGCTGGGGCTACAGGCGCCTGCCACAACTCCCGGCTAATTTTTTGTGTTTTTTTTAGAGATAGGATTTCACCATGTTAGCCAAGATGCTCTCGATCTCCTGACCTCGTTATCTGCCCGCCTCAGCCTCCGAAAGTGTTGGAATTACAGGCGTGAGCCACTGTGCCCGGCCAAACATGTTAAACTCTTAAATTGAAGCTTAGAGTTGGAAAGAACCTAGCAGATGTTCTTGTTAGGCTACTGTCATTTTACAAGGCTAAATAACTTCCCCCAAATCACAAAGTGCCTGAAGTCAGAGCCAATGTGAGGACTTGGTACACTTGGTTATCAATCCAAGGCAAAGATGACAATGCAAACTGCTAATGATCAGATCCATATTTGCAATAAGAAAGCCCATCAGTCAAGAAGTGATACCAGCTTAAGAGGAATCTTTAAATATGGAAACAGCTATTTTCTCAAAGTGGATAATAAAAGCATTTATGTATAACTACCTACCTGTGCTTGATTTTAAAAACGCTGCTCCTAGACAGGAAAGTGAGTAAAAAGCATCTGATTTTACAAGCCAACAAGGCTGCCCAAGTACAAAGTTAAATCAGAGGAACTGAGTTAAACTGCCTAAAGAAAATGTGATTTCTCAGAGAAGAGGAGTAAAATGTACCCTCAGCCTGGGAGGAATATAAGTACAGAATATCCCATTTCTCAGGCAAATTATTTAACTTCTCTTGGACTCAGATCGTCTGTAAAATGGAAATAATATTGTCTAGTTCTTAGTGTTGTAACTAGAATTATATGAAGTGATACAGATTTAAAAAACTTAGAATAGGACTTGACATATGTTCAGAACTCAAAAATTAGATATTAACTTCAATAATACCCAGTGAAACTAAATAATATTTTATATTCTGCTATAGATGAAGAAGTGAGTCACAACAAAGAGGACATACCAATATAGAAGAAAATAAAAAAAGAAGCTCTAAATAGGAATAAAACATGAGAAAAGAGACAGTTTGTACCTGGGGCCAAACATCTGGACATTAATGGTTGGCTTTACCCAGTTCTTTTTGTGGGCATCACCATGATTAATTCTTCCACCACTCCAACAATTCCATATGTTGTCCAAGATCCCAGATAAATTTCCAATTATTTGACTTCTCCTCTAGTTGTCTCATTGTAGAAATACAGCTTAAATTATTTTTCCTGCTTGGCAATGCAATTTCTTGCAGCAGAGGTGTGGATATAGTACTTGAGCAGTGATGATGTCTTACACTACAAACTTTGGTGTACATGATTGCTTAAGCACTGGCCATTCTTGTTTCCTACATAATCAGAGATTGGAATTTCCTTTTTTCTTTTTAATGTATGTTAACTATGATGGAGGCACAGGGAAAACTTTGTAATATATTCGGAAGAAAGATGGTAGCAACCTGTGGAATAAGGAGGGACATGCAGAAATTTTACCCTCTACCCAGAAAATACATCCAGCCAACAATCTCTATCATTTATCGAAGACTTCATTTAGAAGTGGCATCCTCCTGAGCCCTTTGTGTAGACAAATAAAAACAACAACCCCACATGGTGGATCCTACTATTACCTCAACTGAGGCATATTAATAGGCTGCCTTAAACCCCAAATCCTTCATTTGCATTATTATAAAATATTATTATTTTTGCTGTTAAAGATTATGTAACTTAAGAAAGATAACTATAGGTAGCTAAAGTATTATGAAGGGTGGTACTATCTGATTTAAAAACTACCAATGTCATAATAACAGTTACAAACTAGGACTTAAGCAGTTAATTGCTTTATTTATTAACCGTACTATACACATATGCACAATGTTGTATATATATTATAACATGGGCATACTATGTGACAAGGATGTTTTTCTATATTATTACAAGACATAGGAAGCAAACTGGCAGAGTGTCACTTCAGGACAGTTAACATAAGTGAACAATCTGGGTAGCTTCTGCTCACAAAAAGATAAATCTACAGCTATGTGTTTGTTCAACCAAAGATGACATTTGTCATGGTTGGAAGAACTACCTATGCTGAGGTTGCCATAACATTCCTTACATTTGCTTATTAGTTTTTGTTATTAGTTAGTTAGTTTCCGGGACCTAAATGTTGAGTGGCTTACATAAGACAGGGTTTTATTTCTCTCTCATTTAGGAGTCTAGAGATGAATCATTTCCTTCTATCTTGTTTTGTCCCTGCCACTTAAGTGATTATCTACATAGGGCATAGCTACCCTTTTAAGCAAGTGGGAACTGCATGTATCACTTCTCTTTATGTTACATTGTGGGTAGGTTAAGTCCCATGTCCAAAACTCACTGCAAAAGCTTGGAAATGTAGTCTCCATCTGGATGGCCATATGCCTGGATAAAAGTGCATTACTATGGAAAAGGAGAATGAAGTCAGAGGGACAGCTAGCCATGAGGCACACTCAGCCAATTATGATTTCTTCATGTATAGTCTATGCCATATAGGGCATTCTTGAAAGCAAGATGTTTCCACACATGGAATCTAAAGGTGTGTTTTCTAGCTACTTCTTAATGAGGTAGAGAACCAAGTCATGTGTTGAATATTTAGACTTGGTAATAATTAGTGCATATCAACTCTATTAATGGCAAGTCTTCCAAACGGGTCCTATATTTCTTTTGTAGTCAAGAGCAATACCTTCAACTGTGTTGTATCTTCCACAATGCTTAGCATCATTTAGGAACACAATAAATACCTGTTTAATTGAATGTTCTGAATTATATGGAGGGATTTGCTATTTCACAGGATACTGCAAATCATTCATCTCTTTTTTCCTGTCACTTCTCATTTCCAGTTTGATCACTCATGGCTTTGGGACTCCGGCAATATGTGCAGCTCTAAGCACTTTCCAAACAGTTCTCAGTGAAATGCTAAACTACTTGGAAAAACACAGTACTCATAAAAACGGCGGAGCAGCGGATTCTGGCCAAGGACATGCCAACTCGGAGAAAGCCCCCCTGCGGAAAACTTCAGAGGCTGCTGTGAAAGAGGGCAAAACAGAAAAGACAGACTAGCTACATCAAACAGAATCTATTTCCAGAGAGTCTTGCTGCTGATATTTTTTCTAATATATATATAATTGAGGGTGACTAATCTTCAGTGGACCAAATCTCTACCCTTCCCCAATCCTCCATAAAAAACAAAAATGGAAATGAAAAATGAAACAAAAAAGGACAAAACCAAAAAAAAAAAAAAAAGAAAAAAAAAAAGGAAAACAGCAGTGTAACTGTGTGATGAAATTGTCACCTTTTAATTTTATGTTATGATAAACTCCTTTGTGCACGTAACTTATTGTCTGAATTATATACACCACAGTTTTTAAGCACTTCTGGACTTTGGAGAGGCAGCACATGCTTTTTCACATCTAACTGATGCACTTTCTTACCCAACTATGTAGGTAGGGATCAGAAAGCATGACCAAACTGGAATCCACCACCAGTACTTACAGCTCCAGTCTTTCAACTTAACTCCCTTTAACTGAAGAGTGCCTCATTCCACTAAATAGATCAATCTGGAAATCAGTCTATTAATAAATGTTTGGGTAACTGAAAAGGGCAGTTATGAATCTATGAATTGACAACAGATCTAAAATGTTGATAACCCCTAGCCCACTTAACTACCAGTGCCTTGGTGGTATTTAAAAATTCCAGGAAACTTTCTCGTATCTATGATATTCCCATCCAATCCCAGGTCCATTTACCCCACCCCAATAGCTAAGAAGATACTGGAAAAGTATATTACTGAAGGGATAAGAGATGAACTCTTCTATCCATTCTCTTCACATCACCACCCTAGCAATTCAAGAAAACAGACCCACTGCATTTAGTGGGTCAGGGCAGGATGGATATAGGAAAGAGTAGCTTTGCCTCCCTTGGGCTCCTGATGGAAAGCAGTGGCATTGTTTTGCCTGGAAAAGCATAGGAATAGGAACAGTGATCTTTCTGGGAAGTCCTGCTTCTCAGAGATGGGAGAAGAGAACAGGGACCTAGGGGAGGCCCCTTGAAGTGCTGGTGGCCAACGATTGTATGGTTAAGATGAGAACCTTCCTTTTTCTGCTTTGGTGCTTCTTCTACCTGCCCGATGGCTGTGTTCTAAACCTTGAGAGGCACAAAAGCATTCAGGTCTGTGTTCAATAAAGAAAACAGAAACAATGATCAGAGAAAACTTTTGCTTTTAAGATGCTTTCTTTTTTCGTAGCTTGTTTTTATAACTTCATTGTCCTTTAGTTAAGCCACTGAAAACGAGAGGTTCCTGGCTGCAAAGGCAAGGGGCTAATTGAATGAAAGTTTGGTCCATATAAACCTGAACATGTCAAGAAACCTGATTGGTATCACATTGTACTAATCTTTCTACTGTTAACAATTCTCAAGCTTCTAGGCCAATAAAAATGTAAGTCATTGTCTATGTAAAAAGAAAAAAAGAATGTTTTTATTAATGTGTGGACTGCTGACACTTAGTTTAAGACTAAAACATTCTCCTCTCATTAACATATTTAATTACTTTTTAAAAGCCTCTATCATATTATAACCCCATGGGAAATATTAGTATTATTTTTAATTGAGGGGAAATAGCTCAAGAATTTTCATGTAGAGATCACAAAAACTATTTTTACCTAACAATAATTCTTAAAAATTATTTGACCGTGATCTTCAATCTTGTACAGAAAAGTAGAACCATACCAATGAAAAATTAAATTTTCTAGCTTAAATTTAATTAACAGAAAACACTACTAAGGAATTCCATAATAGAAGAGCTTAAAATAAAGAAACATGAAATAATGAATTGTGATTTCATGTGTTTAGTTCCATTTTTAAAATTTTTCTATTATTCATGGCTTAAAGTTTTTTTGAAATAAAATAGAATAAAGCCAAAATTCTGCTGCAGCTCCAAATTTTCTCACAAAATATATGATTTAATCTTACATGAAATTTCCCATATTGTAAAATATACACATGAAATAAAAATGATCAATATTTCAGTTTAATAAGTAGTAGGAAAGTTATGTACAGATAATGTGGATGACTACTTCAATTAAATTTCCACATTAACTTGCTTTTATTCTATTTATTATTAACAATACATATGTATTTAATATGGCATTTTGATATGCATATCTGCTAGGTACTTTATGTAGTTATATACCATGTCAAATGTTCAACAATAAGCAGACAAAAAATTAGATCTGGCTTATATTACCAGCTTACTTTTTCACCTTTACCTGTGACTAGTTGGGATTCTAAACACCTCAATGGGATATTATTACTTACTAGCCTTGGAAACAAAAATATAACTACAGTGCATATTATTTACCAGGATGTTGGGTGTTTTAAGAGCCTTAAATGGACAGCACCCATCTTTTAACTTAACCAGCCATTAGGATATAAAAGAATTGATGGACTGGTCATGTTTAGAATCATTATCATATTCTAATAGACATTGTTAACATACCAATTTTTGCCTTGTATATAATAGGTACTCACCACTTTTTAAATAAATGAATAAATGAATGTGTGTGTGTTCTTTGTCCAAAATGGGCCAAAGGACCTTTTAATTGTGATTTTTTTTTCAGTACTCAGTGCTTTAATCTGGTTTGCTTCCTCCATTGTAATTTATGAATAATTATTTTTATTTGAATAAGAAAATATTTCCAAGATGACACATTGGTTTCAAATAGATATATTTCATATGGAACAATAAACAACACTAGTTAGGTATTAGAATTTCAACAAAAGTGAAGTTATTACCTTTATTATAGTTTATGGTAAAAGAAGATAGCTTGGACCGGGTGTGGTGGCTCACGTCTGTAATCCCAACACTTTGGGAGGCCTATGCGGGTGGATCACGAGGTCAGGAGTTCAAGACCAGCCTGGCCAACATGGTGAAACCCCTTCTCTACTAAAAATACAAAAATTCGCCGAGTGTGGTGGCAGGTGCCTGTAATTCCAACAACTTGGGAGGCTGAGGCAGGAGAATCGCTTGAACCTGGTAGATGGAGTTTGCAGTGAGCCGAGATCGCACCATTGCACTCCAGCTTGGGGTGACAAGAGCAAGACTTAGAGAAAAAAAAAGGAAAGAAAAAACATAAATAAATAAAAAATAAAAGAAGATAGCTTGAAAAAAATCTTTCTGATTTTTAATATTATGATAAATAATAGAAATATTTTTTCAGATAAACTATTACTTCCCCAGAAAATATATTCAAATCTCTCATACTTACCCCAAATTAATGACAGCATAACAGTTTTATATTTAAAACTTAATGAAATAAGTCAAACTTTTATACAAAGATATGCTTATTTTAAGACTGTTTCAATAATTCATTTAATGCAACTATCATGGATATGTCATCAGAGTTACCATTTGACTTAAGTGTGCTGGCTCTAGAAAAATTAATGAAAATTCAATGACTCTCTATTTTTCTTCTCTGGAAAGATCAGAGCACTGCAAAGATGCCTCGTCTGTGCTTCTTCTGCCTTCTTTTTAGATGCCTTAAAAATAGAGATAATCCTTCCCGGCTTTTCAGTTCCTTTTTTTCCCATTTTTTGAGAATATATTCTCTTCAATGTCTATAACAAAATATGACCCTTTAGGACCTATGAGTACCCTGATCCAAGTGTGACAGTGATAAGAGTTCAGCCCTCTGTCACTTAGCACTTTTAAGATAAATGTGACAATAAACTATTCTTGTTAATAATGAGTAAGGTAGTACAAAACATTTTCCTATATTTTCTTGCTTCTATGCCTCTTTGGAAGCATTTTAGAACAGTGGAATTTTAAAATATATATACATATCTGAATTCTTTACACAATGAGTGTGTTATTTCCTTACAAAAGCCAAGTCAATATGTGAGAGGTGTCATGACCTAGTGTCTAAGAGTATGAACTAGAAACCACTACCTGGTTCAAATCAAGGCTCTCTTACTTGCTACTGTGTGATTCTGAGCAAGTTGCCACACCTCTGTGTGCCTCCATTTTCTCATCTGCAAAATGAGCATGATAGTAGATACCTACTCACAGAATTACTGTCAGAATCAAAGACTTGGTGTATCTAAACTGTTTAGAGCAGAAAAGGGGCATGTTAGTGCTAGGTGAATATTAGCTACTGTCTTTCATACTTAGAATTTGGACAAATCATTTTTTATCTAGAGATCAGTTTGTCTTCAGCTTATTGTACCCTTTCTATGACAGGCTTCATCCTAGAGACTGAAGATACAGAGTGAAATAGAATATTTTTATTAATGTCAAGCTTCTCATAATCTCCTATGAAGATAATAGCTATTCAAATATGGTATGTGTCATGATGAAAATACACACAGGGTGCCCAGCACAAGCCAGACCAGGATCTAGGAAACAGGAGATGGGGGGAGACGGAAGGGTGAAAAATTGAGGAAGAGAGTTATGATCAGGGAAACAGGAAGCTAGAGACCAGGGAAAAGGAGCTTTAGCATTCTAGGAGACTTAAAAACATTTGAGGCAGTAAGCTATTTTGAAAACTAACAGGCACACCTTGTATTTCTGGATATTCCTCCCTTCCTTCCACATTCTGGGGCAGCTAACATGTTGCCTTTACTGCCTCAGGGAAGGAATGTGACCCAGAAGAATGCAGGCAACAAAAGTTTTTAAAGAAACTTTCATAAAAATTTTTAGTTTCAAAATCTTAGGCTCTAGAGGGGACTTGAGGTTTAAAAGCATCTCGGTCAGGACCTTATTACTTCCACCTGCCCCCAAAGCTCCCTGACAACACCACACACACTGGAGACCAGAAAAGAATCCACAGGTGGTTGGGGAAAGAGCAAAGAAGAAGGAGGTTTTTTTTTTGTTTTTTTTTTTGAGACGGAGTCTCGCGCTGTCGCCCAGGGTAGAGTACAGTGGTGCGATCTCGGCTTACTGCAACCTCCGCCTCTTGGGTTCAAGCCTCAGCTTCCTGAGTAGCTGAGATTACAGGTATATGCCACCACGCCTGGCTAATTTTTGTATTTTTAGTAGAGAAGCGGTTTTGCCATGTTGGCCAGGCTGGTCTTGAATTCCTAACCTCAGGTGATCCACACCCCTCGGCCTCCCAAAGCTAGGATTACAGGCGCGAGGCACCACGTCCAGCCAAAGGATAATTTTTTTAAAGTTTAGTGTAGCACTGCACCTCTGAGATAGGGTCATGTCCTGGGGGTGAGGTTGGGGTGTGAATCTTATAGAGGAGGAATTATGTCCTCATCCCAGAGAAAAGCCCAGGGGAGGAAGAAAGCCCAGCACAGTACAGAAGCAAAGAGCTGTCTATGTGATATGCATCTAGGCAGGTGGCACTCAGACAGCCTCACATTTCTCCTAAGGAGTTTATTTATTTCAAGATGGCAGGGACAGACTAGCATGATGTGGATGCAAGAGGAACAAAGGAAGCAGCACTTGAATATTTCAGGTTCACCGGAGAGCAATCCAGATAGCTGGCAAGTATGCAGAGTCCTCATAGGTTGGAAACAAGAATACGAAAGAAAAACCTGAGACACACCAATCAAAGACCAGACAGGAATTCAGACATTCCCCCTACTCAGGGAT